AGAACCAATCTGCATGTAGCAGTGGCTTTACACAGTGCACAAAATAATTGAACTAAGTGAAGGTATTTAATAGCTAAAATATGATTGTTACTTTTACAAGTTTTTAATAATTAATAATTTAACTTGCAAATCAAATAAATATTCAAAGACCTGACAAGACAAGAGAATTTTTTGAAGAGTTTTACCTGTCTTTTGCAGTATCCTGGTCCTCTACCATACCCTTGGAGGCCCAGTGACTGCAAATCAAATGAGTGCAACAGGGCCAGAGTTTCTATCATGGCAATATACAAAGCAGAACGCTCTGCTGGGCCCACTTCAGGCAGTGAGATGTCTCGAAAAATGCGACCCTAAAAACACCATAAATCAGATATTTGGTGGGATGAACATACCAGATGAAAAGAAGTAAAGCTCTGCATTTAATGACCAAAACTAAATGTAGTGAATCAACATCCCCTACGCAAACAAAAATTCCTTCCTCCTTTACTTTATTCCTTGCCCAGGGCAAATGAAGGGATTCACAGTATTCTCAAATCATTAGTATATGAAAGGCAATTAAAATAACAGATATATTCAGTAGATGAAAGTCTGAATTAGAGCACTGAATCCAGATATCATGAAGCTTGAAAGCACCAGGAAAAACAATGTTGCTGCGTCACCTCTAACAACTAACTTGCAGAAAAAATATCAACAAAGACCTGAAGGAGATGGGGGGGGGGGTCACAGACAGGGAGCGGAGGGAAATAGGTGGGTTGCACATGCTGAGGCAAACGATCCAAAGAAATTCACTTGTGTTCTCCTTAAAGGCAGTTTAATATATTTAAAAGATGGGTGTGTTTTTCCATGTTCTCCTTTAATTTTGACCCTGTCAGCAACAGATTGGAAGAGAAAAAACAGATTCCTCTCTCCTCTGATATCCTCAATTTCAGTGTTTTGCATGATGGCTTCAATATATTTACACAGCTAAAGCAGCAAGAGAATTTCTTTTACTAAAAGGTTCTGCATAACAAATCTCAAGATCGGGTTTTGTATTGTGCAATAGTTTATTCAAAAGAATAAACATATGATTGTTTTCTAAATACACAATGTATTTGTTAAAAACATTGCAGTGCTGTCCATCTTAGAATGGACAGACTGTACATTTACATACTTAAAAATGCAGCAAGGTTTATTCTTAAGGAATCACTTTCTTGTAGTCAAAACCAAAAAAATTCTCCATCTTTAATGAAAGAAATCTGTTTCAAATTTTTCATAGCTCTTACATTATATTACTCTTGATTCATGGTTTTTGTAAGAAAGTTAATCTAATCTCCAGGAACTGGTCAACAAACTCTTATATTTCTAATTTCCCAGTTAACCTGATGACAGCGTAGGATGCAACAAAAGGAAAGAGGCTTGAAGTCAAATCCTCCTCCAGCAGGAAAAAAAAAAACATGATATGGCATACTTACACTCAAAAATCACCAAAATCTAACAGAAGCACTATCAACTCAGCTACAGCACTATCAACTCAGCTACAGCACTATCAACTCAGCTACAGCACCCCTAGATGGGATGGACCACAGACGGAACTATGCTGTATTCTTTCTGAAACCATGTTTGAACTGGAATCCTGCTTGGTTTTCAAGAAAAGGTGATTGTACGTCAGCTCCTATTTTCTGTACTAAACAGGCTCCAGGATGTCCAAAGATTTAGTATAACTTTATCAACTGACTGTTTTCCCTCTGTCTTGTGCATCCTTTTCACAGGAAAAATATTGCCTTACCGCAAGGCATCCTTCTGAGAACTCAAAACAAGAACAAGAGGTCAAATACTAAGCTGAATGTTTCAACAAAGCAGAAAATAAGCTTTGGAGAAGCTGAAATCTGTGAGAATCACTGATAGCTAGCATTTCCTAAAATTATCAGAAGATTATTTACGTTCATATCAGAAAACTTAGTGAGTGCTGGATAAGGCTCTAACGGAAAGGCAATTCAAACGCATCTTGTAGTAGGGAGAAGGAAAGAACCTGTCACATTGGAGGACCAACCTGCACATGCTGCATTACGTAGAACTCTGTTCCGATGACAGAAACGTCACTGCAGTACAACAGGGGCTCAGGCACCGGAAAGCCAGCCGAAAATAAGGCTTTCTGCACACGATATTCTCTATCGACCTGAAGGCGACACAGAAACTTAGGGTCAATTAAAACCTCCCAAGAGTAAATGATCACAGTGAATGACAATGTTCAGTTCACAGAACACCAGAAATGATCCAGCAGTTCACTGCGTTTCTGGGCACACTCAAAATTGTGCCAGACCATCATGTACAGGACTTAGTCACTTGCAATACCAAGTGTTTGGAGCTTGATGAGGAACGTTACTTACCTTGTGCGCTCCAGGCAAAAGGGGGCCATGGGGTTTCTTCCTGAGCACATAAGCCTGACCACCCTTCTGAAGGTAAAAGGTTGGATTTGACTGGCCCGAGCTACAAAGAGAGAGATTATAATTACAAGTTCAAGTACTTACAAAATTGTAAACTTCCAACAGAAATTATGCAAAATGCACTTCATCTTGTTTTGTGTTGTGGGTTTTTTTTCAAATCTAGTCTTAACAGGAAGCAAGTGATAGACTACAGAATCAAAAGTCAGAGGTTCTATTCCTACTTACAAGAAAGATGTCTTTAACTGTGGACAGATCACAGCCAATTTGTTCTCCTGTAGCCTTTACCTCTCCTCCATAAAGAGACATCATTAACTTATTCAAGGTATGCAACAGATACTAACTTCAAAGCTTTCTGATTATGAGGAATTAAACAGAGCAGAATTCTCACTAGCTCATAACTGTATTTGTCCTTTGGTGAGCTGTATTTTGAACAATGTAAGCACAAAGAAAGCTCTCCAAATTGGAGGGGAACTTTTTACAAGAGCATGTAGTGACAGGACAACTAGGAATTGATTCAAACTGAAAGAGAGTAGGTTTAGATTAGATATTAGAAAAAAATTCTTTACTGTGAGAGTGGTGAGGGACTGGAACTGATTGCCCATAGAAGCTGTGGATGCCCCATCCCTGGAAGTGTTCAAGGCCGGGCTGGATGCGACTCTGAACAACCTGGTCTAGAGAAAGGCATATCTGCACATGGCAAGGAACTGGAAATAGATGATCTTTCAGGTCCCTTACAACCATTCTATGATTCTATTCTATGATTAAACTACTGAGGATTCTAGTACCAAGCTCCACTGCATGCCAGCCTGATCACGATGTCCATATGCTATGCTTAAGGGACAGCCTATAGGAAAATTTTAAAGAACGAATGTTGAAGTGACAAAAGAAAAACATTTCAATCACATAACGTGTAAAAGAAAAGGACAACCTAGTTAAATCCTTCATAATATCTTTTCCATCATATTCCAACCAAGCTTTTTGACCCTTATTTTCCTCAAGGCTCTGTGCTAATCTGCATGCCTTTCTTTCCTCATTCTAGATAATTCTTAAGATGTATTCTGACTTGGCCCACTAAAAGATTGAACAACTACTAGAAAAAAAAAACAAAAACAAGTGAACTTTTTCCCTCATTTCCATTCTCCCTGAAGCAGTTAGGGCATAGTTTGTAACACAGTTTAACAAGTATACTGCACTGACAAACACTGATTAGCACAAAAGAAATTTACACCAGCTGAAGCCTTGAACTGCAATTAGTAGCAAAGTAGTAAAAGCAGATTTTACTATTAGCTACTCTCCTAAGGCCCTTCCTAAAGTCTCCTCAATCACAGTACAGCTGAGGATTCAATGGATGTTTTTTATTTGCAACAGAAGACAATGAAAAATTGTTTACTGTTTCTTAGTGATGGCTGCAGATAAAGTGGTCAAGGTCATGTTTACAGAGGAACTAATATTTATTTCTGGAATGTCTTCTAATGTGAAGTCATGCAGCCACAACACTAATTTGCTGAATGCGAATGAACCCACCGTTCTATGGAATGGCGGCTTTGGAGCCTGGGTGTGGCACCTCACTGGCGCTTGGCATTACTCAGGGCGCTCCTGGGAATTTCAATACATTCTTGCCCTGTTCTCACGGATTTGCTTAGCCGGCGACACCCTAACGCTTCTACAGTTGAATCCTTAAGCTGTGTGTGTGCTTCTGAACATTACTATTTGCTGTGCAATCGAAGACGGAGCCGGTAAATTGAGAGGCGATAAAACAATCGTGCGGGTACTCTGAGGATAGCGGGAAGTCCAACCAACACACAGCCCGGCCGCAGACAGCTAGCTGCGGGCACACACTGCCTGTGACAAAGGTCACCTTCGCCGCCACCGCAAACTTTGACTTCTCCAGCCGCCCAAGGCTGTTCTCTCGGTGCCTGCTGTCCGCCATGCCCAGGACACCTCTCCCTCTGGCCACCTTCCCTGCCAGGCAGCAGCGAGCAGAGCGGCCCCTCTTCTGGCCTCACAGTGCGGGCTCACAGCCCACGTCCCAGTCACGGAGGCGGCTCTGGCCCCGCCGGGAGCGCTGGGGCAGGAGAGCGGCGGCTCCCCCGCTACCTCTGTCACCTGAGTCACCTGTTACCTGTACTGCCTGACAGCCAGCGCGCCCGCAGGCTGCCGAGGGAAGCCGCGCAGGTGGCTGCTCAGGTAGCGCTCCAAGCTGCCCTGGTCGAAGCGGTGCTGCCGCCGCACCTCGCTGGTGCCCGGCTCCGCCGCCATCCCGGGAGGCTCCGCCACTGCCCGCCCCGCCCCGCCCCGCCCCGCCCCGCCCCAAGCCGTCCCGTCCCGCCCGCCGCCGCCCGGAGGCGCCTCGGTCCGCCAAGGAAAGCGCAGCCCGCCCCCAGCGCTGCCGGGGTTGGGTGGCTTCTCCTGGGAGACAGCGTTCCCGGGAAGAAGGCACCGCCTGGGCGCACCCCCCGCCCACAGCCGCGGCCGCCGGAGCTCGCCCCCCGCCACTCCCACCGCCGGGTGTCGGGAGGCGGCCCCGCGATGGGACCGCCCCGGCGCTTCCCGGAAGCTGCGGCGGGCAGGCAGGCAGACGTGTCGCTGCCATGGCGGATGCCGGCCGGCTGGAGCGGCTGGAGCGGCGGGTGCGGGAGCTGGAGGAGGAGCTGGCCCGGGAGCGGGCCGGGCGGCGGCCGGCGCGGGCCCGCATCGACACCATGAGCCCGGAGGTGACCGACTCCAACCCCTACAGGTGCGGCCGGGGCCGGGGGCCGTGCGGGGCGCGGAGGATTCCATCAGGATGGAGAGGATGGGCGAGCGGTAGGGCCGTGGGTTGGAGCTGCGGGTCGGGCTGAAGGGAGGGAGGCACGGGGAGAGGGGCTCGGGCAGGTGCGGGTCTAAGGGCTGGCGTGCCGAGGAGGGTGGCAGGGCAGTGCTGACGGCAGATGCTCTGTGGGGAGCGGGGGAGAGATGCTCTCGGATTTCCCACCTGCCTGGGCAGACAGGGGTGTATGTCAGGGCTACATTGTATTATCTTGTTTTACGGTACGAGAGAGAGAGAGAGAGAGAGAGGAAACCTTGTGACTTTTTCAGCTAAGTTGCTAATAAATTGACAGGTGTTGGTATAACATGAGCTCTTATTCCTCCTAACTTAGCTATTTTAGAGTTTGGTTTATGGAACTACTGAGCATCAGGGACCCCTTCTCTTCTGGAAATCTGATGCCTCCCCTCCCCATTTCCCCCCCCCCCCCCTCGCCTTAATACAAGTTGATATCTGTACTTTCATTGATACTTTCAGTGTAAAAATTCAATAACTGGATAAAATGTTGCTTTAAAATCCTTTCAGTTATCCTCAAAAACTGATAGTCTCAATTTTTGTGGTTTTTTTTAATGTTATGTTGGAGTTAGTATAGTCAAATTTATCAGAAAACAGTGCAAGTCTTCACTAGTTTGCTGCCATATGGTTCATTA